TCAGAATTATTCCCCCCAGAGGGAGAAAGGTGGTGTCCCCATTGCTACTATTGCAGATTCTGGTGTCACTGCACCTAGACAGGAGGGTCTGGCCTCACTCTGGGAGGGCAGGGAATTGCTCTGTGCGTCTCACCATGACCCTCACCTGCATTTCCCGTCTGTGTGCAGAGAGAATGTGGCTTATTCTTCCTCTTATTATTATTAGTTACACATGACAGTAGAATGTATTTTGGCAGAATATACATACATAAAGTGTGACTTATTAGGTTCCATCTTGCTGTGCGTGATGTGGAGCTACCCTGGTGGGTATACAGTACGGGGAGGGGAGAATAAAAACAGGTGGACTAGACAAAGGAAAACAGGGAAGGGAGGGGGGGATAGCAAAGACAGTAGAATCGATTGGTCATAACCTTCCTAGCCTCGTATTTGTATATGAGTGAGTTGTGTTTTTAAGTGATTAACTAGAGCACAGTCCCCGCTCTGTCCCTGGCCTTGCTGCCCAGCCATGCCTGTTCCTCTGAAGCCGGCTGCTCTTCTCCTCGGCCTTGGTCTGTGCCTTGCCTGTGTGTGCTCTTCAGATGCTGAGGAGTGTCTTTGGATGTGTCTGCATTTTGCTGTCTTGTTACACACACATGAGCCACTTAGCAGGTAGGAAAGAAGGGACCCCTGGGTAACCCCAGGTGGAGGAGAGCACTGCTGGCCTTGAACCCCACCTGCCGTGTCCCCATCACAGTGGAGGATTGTTCGCTTCATGTCTATCACTTTATACGCCCCAAGCTTGTTCTTTAGGTAACATTGTAGTTCTGCAGCTCATCTAGCTGATTTATGTAGCTCTGGTTTGGCTTTAACTACAGCTTAGGGTTCTGGTGACTTCAGCTTGCTTACCCACTGTAGGCTGTCTTCCCTGCCATGTGCACAAGTAAGGGATGCTATAGTGAGTGCTCCTATTTACTCCCCGGCTCAAGGTGCCCCAGGACTGTGCGTGGCCCTGATGGGCCAGGGTGAGTGTGCTGAAGCTTGACCAAACACTCTTGAATTGATGGCAAGGTGCTGTCCCAGCTCCCTCCACTCCATGTAGAGAGTTCTCTTTCCTGCAGACTTTGCCAATACTGGAGTCATGCAGCTATGAATCCTCTCAATGAGTGTTGGAAGTTTCTGGAACAAGGAGGAGAAAGCCCATGGCAGTAATGCAGGATGCTGAGGCTGGCATAGCCCATAGGGCTAGCAGGGACCTGGCAGCAGATGGCCCTGGGTCCATTTTATAGCGGGGGAAGCTGAGACCAAGGAGCCAAGGGCCTGACCCTCTCTGCTGTGGCAGATGCCCACTGAATAGCTGTAGCAAGGCTGTTTCTATTTGGTAAGAGAGGAGCAGCATGCAGGGCTGGCCTGGGGGGGTGGAGGAGGGCAGAGGTGTGAACGTCTCCATACACTGGTTTTAAAGGTCTTCATATTGCCAGAAAAATAGCCTTAGAGAGTGAGTGATACATGTGTTCCTTTTAATACAGCCGCAGACATGTACATGCAAATTTAAAGCTAAACACATGCAGTATTGATACACCTGTGTTCAGAAGAGCGTTATTCATAATAGCTAAAAGCAGAGGCAGCCCAAGCTGGATGAATGTGGATAAAATGTCATGTGTGTGGACAAAGAAATGTTCAACCTTGGAAAGGAAGGGCCTTCTGGCACATGCCACAACACAGATGTGCTTCGAAGACATCACACTGGCAAAGCCCGCTGGACATCCAGGGACCAATGCTGTGGTTCAGCTCAGAGTCCCAGGGTCAAGTGTGTAGAGACAGAGAAGGGAGGGCCCTGTGCAGGCTGGGCAGGGCCAGCAGGTTCCTGTCTGATAATGGGGACAGTTTCGGTTGGGGAAGATGGAAAGTTCTGGGGGTGGATGGTGAGGATGGTTGGGCAACCAGGTGACTGTATTTAACACTGTTGAACTGGGTACTTCGAGAAAGAGGGCACATTTTTGTTATATGTCATTTACCACATTGAAAAAATCTAACATAGAAGTGCATACACTTTTTTTTCAAGGTCTAACGCTTTCATAGGAGCTTTTTCGAAAGTTGTTGACCTTTCCTTAACTGAGCTGTGGTTTACGGAGCCTGCCCAGTGTCCTCCATTCCATGGTGGAGGTGGCCAGGCTTCCACAGACATGGACAGGCATGCATAGGGTGCAGGCGCCTGTGGGCTCTGGCATGTGTTGGTGTACATTTCTCATCTTTTTGTTTTATATTTATTCATTTTTCCTACATTTTGCTGCATTTGTTCTGTTTTCCCGTGTTTTAAAGTTCTTCCCAGTCTTCTTAGCGAAGGCAGGTACATGCTCCTCCAGCCCGGCCTGTTAAGCAGGGGCTGTGCTGTAAGGGGTGGGAGCAGGGCCCCGAGGACCTGGTCTGGTGCTGAGCTGTGTTCTCCTGCTGTCCGCTCCACAGCCCCCGTCTATAGACAGCCTTCCCATAGACGTGGGGAAGAAGGGAATTAATCCGAATCGAGCACTTGGAACAGTGTGGAGCCCATCCCGGTGTCTTCACCTCCCCGCAGGATGTTACTCATGTGTTCGTTTCCTCCCTGTTCCTAGAAGCACCTGGGAAACACTGTAAGCATTTTTCAGGGTCTTGATACCTTGCCAGGAGTGCTGCCGTAGAGAGTGGATGGTTGAACTGTGTTTTAGTATAATTAAGGAAATCGCGCATGCCCACGGAAAGGTCAAAAGCAGCATCAAAGTGTGGGGACTCGGGCTCTCCCGCCCCTCCCCTGTGCTTGCTCACCTTCGTTCTGCCCCCGCCCAGAGCATGGCGCTGTCCACAGGGTTCCTGGAAGCCCATCACCTGCCAGAGACACATGGAAAAGGCACGTCCGTGAAAAATGGAAACATTATTTTAAAACAATTTTCTCCAAAGTTCTTGACTTAAGTTTTCTCAGCCAAATGAGGAAATGACCCTTGTTTGTCTCTTCATGGCTGTGGCCAGGCTGCCCTCCAAGGTGCAGTGGCCAGCCAGCCAGCTCGCCGACCCTCCCGTCCCCTGCCCCCTTTGGGGGCTTCGGTTCCTCCAGGGATCTTCTCCCTTCCTGGACAAGCTAGCCAAGCATGATACTCCCATTTTTGGAAACTGAACAGCTTAGGACTTCTCTTGCAATGTGACCCAGGTGGGCATGACTCAGGAAGATGGTAAGATGCTGAGCCCTCTTTCTGATATTGTTCCGAGACTGGTGGTCTAGCAGGCGAGCCTGCAGTGGGCAGCAGGGGGGGTCCTGCTGTTGTAGCATCTGAACTGCACCCACGGGCTCCAAGTCTACATCAAAGTCAGTGTCATCATGTCACACGTGTCCCCTGCCGTGCATGATTCTTGAGAAGGAAAACGGTGTTCAGAACTCAAGGGCCACAAACAGAAGGTCTGAAAGAGCACAGACTTCATTCAAAGGGCACTTGTCACCCCTGCCCTCCCCTCTGCCTCCCACCGTAGCCAGAGCTGCCTCTCACCCAGCCTTCGTGGGGCACTGGGGCTAGCGTTGAGCCGGGAGTCTGTGATGATACCTTTGATTGGTTGGATAAGAATGAGGACTGGCCGCCTGAGCTTCTGGTCCAGTGTGGCCCGGGCCTGACTGTGACTCTCAGAAGTCCCTACTGGCCTCAGAGACCAGGCCTGGCCCTGGACAGAGTTCTCCTGAAGTCCTTGAAGACCACAGTGTGTCAGAGTATCCCCTTTACAGATATCTGGCTCATCCCCACAGAGTTGGGTCTGCCCACCGTGGAGCAGGCCAGGCCTTCCCAGAGGACCAGTCACCAGGCGCAATTCAGGCCCTGCCTCACCTGTACTTTTGACATCAAATGTGATTTTTTTTTTTTTCTCACACCAACCGATTCTCCAAACCTCTAGCACCACCTGGAAGTCCTGCAATGACGGGTGTCCTGATTCACAGGTGGTAGGGTCAGGCCCTGGTCTCAAGTTCTGGGTTGCCAGCCGTACTTCTGACTACCCACAGCAAACCTGGGGTTTCTGCACCCGCTCCTCAGCTTGCCACCTTGTTACAATGGCCCAGAACTCACAGCTTGCTTTCTGCTGTCAGCTATGCTAAGTGCAGCAGAGGAGCTTCCC